TCACCCCCATAGTCCTAGTTCCCAGCGATAAGGACCCTTGTAGCCTCCCCGTTTCCTCGGCCCGGAGCCCAGAACTCCCTTCTCGGGCCCCAGAGTTCTTCCAGTCCCCAGTGCACCGTCCTCAGCCCACACTCTCATCTAAGTGCCTGATCCCACGCTCCCCTCCCAGGCACCTTCATTTTCACCCCGTGGGCCCGCAGGATCCTTCCCTCAGTCTCACTGCCAGTCGTTCTCAAACCCCTTGGGGGTGCCCAGCACCAGACCCCTCTCTCCGCCCAGCTTACAGTCTCTGCCAACTCTAGAAGCAGCTCTTTTTCTCCAGGGCCATCGTCCTGCCTACCTTTGATTCTTGCCACCCTTCTCTTCTAATAATTGAAGGATGGGTGGGCCATTCAAACTTTCTAAGGATGTCTCCATTCCATCTATTAGTGGCGGGTTCCAAAGAGCGACTGTTGACTGTGCTTTTTTAGAAAAGATGTACTTCTGCAAGCTCTCCAGCTACTTGAGTGATGGAAAACTTGTTTAGATTCATAGAATTTTATCCGTACCGCATCACCTGCCTTCAGGGTTCTCACTCAAATTATCTGATTGTGTTTGGATTGTACCTTTCCATCCGGAGAATTCCATAGACATTTTAAAAGTAAGAGGGACAAGAAAAGGCCAGCCACAGTGTATTTTGCATAAAGTAGTGTGGTGATATCTACTGTAGTTTAGGTCAGCATGTGTGGTTTTCATGCCTTTTTCCTGCTTGTGTAATAGGCCTATATTTTGAGTTCATTGATATGAACGAATATAGCACATAACTTTCTTACTTTTGTCCGTTGACATTTTGTTAGACTGATTCTGATTTGAAAAATCGGTTGACTCCTCTATGTATGGATACGTAGTTACCAAAAGTGCTATAAGGAAGAAAATAAAAGCATGATAAGCAAGAAAGTGACCTTTTCCTTATACATTGTACTTTGGTCTTCTGGAAGTACCATGTTATCTTTTATTGCAGGCAACTTTCCCCAGGCAGGATTGGCTGAACTAAAGTCCTGTTTCAATGCAACCTCTTCTTTTATTAAAAGAAACAAATTTTTAAATGTATTTTCATTGATTTCAGAGAGGAAGAGAGAGAGAAACATCAATGATGAGAGAGTATCATTGATCAGCTGCCTCCTGCAAGTCCCACACTGGGGATTGAGCCTGCAACCCGGGCGTGTGCCCTGATGGGGAATCAAATTGTCACCTCCTGGTTCATAGGTCGACGCTCAACCTCTGAGCCACACCAACTGGACTAAAAGAAGTGAATTTTGATAGCTTATCACTGCTTAATAAGACCTTGCACCCTACCTGTTTTGTAAAATATGAAGTTTTACCTCTGCTCCATCAGTAAGCAAGAATCAGGAGGCCTACATTTTGAAAAGAATGTCCCAATCAAAAAATCTGCCCATTGTTTTTACACCCCCCAAATCTAGAGAAAAGATTTTTAGATTATAATTTCTCGTTGGCATGCCTATTTAGTCAATTAGAGCCTGGAATTATAATTATGTTATACAAGGAAGGCTAGTTATAGTACAGTGACATCTGTTTATAATTGTTCGCTTATTTATAACAATAACTTAAGACCAAGAGTTTAGTTTTGTTTATTTGAGTTAACTCGTTTCTTCCACTAGATTATGGACTCTTAAAGGTGGGGATGGTGTTTCATGTCTCTGTGTATCTCAGCTTTTAACTAGTACTGGCATGTAAAGAACACTCAAAAGTGTGATGAATTAATGGATAAATTCCGTTAGAAAGCAGTACCTAAGCTTAATATGGCTGCAGTGATAGTCATGCTAAGTGTATCTTCAAGGTGAGGTGGCATCACATCTCACCATCACCATCACCCATAGAGGGACCCAGTGCCAGGACTGGGTCCTGTGTTCTTTTCATCTTGCACTCTTGGAATCCATGCTGCTGAGGAATGCGGAAGGAGTTCTAATAGGATGAATTCCCAGCTTTTCTAAAAATCCTTCTGGAGCTTTTTGTTACTAGCACTGACGTGTAGTACTCCTTTGTGATTACTTTCAAGCATTTGTTTCTCTTATTGACATTTTCAACTTGTAGGTGTTCTTTCAGTGCTTAAAAGAGCCTTTAATGTCTTGGCCACGATCACATAATAGTAAGAGGCAGAAGGCGGGAATTGAACATAGCTCTTTCTGACTGCAAACTCTCCAGGCTAAGCTGGGAATCAAATCAATTTTGGTTTTAATGCATAACCCCCTAGTTTTTTGTGTATGTATTTTTTTAGTTACAGCACCCTGCAAATAAAACGTAGAAAATGTAAATAGAGACATAATAATGAGGCATAACACTTTTTTATTTAAGCCCTGCTTTGTTGCAGAAAGAATTTGAGGCTGCTTCAAACGACAGATACAGTATAATAAGACTAAAAGTAAAGAAGTTAGAGGAAGAGAGAATAAGGATAGGAAAGCAAACACATGCTGTAAAGCCCAGACACAAACACAGAAGTGGGCCCCAAGATTGACATGGAACAACTTCCCAGCAGCCTGTGCAAATTGGGGATCAGTTACATAGTCCTCAGCTGAGGCTTAGGACTTGATTTACACAGCTTAAACAAAGCATTTTCTATTTTTTCTTGGTTTGGGATGTGCTTCATGTATTGACATCTACTATTTTTCAGGCACCGTACTAAACCCTGGGAATGCAAACCTAAGTAACATTCACTTTTTAAAAAAATGTATTTTTTATTATGCAGAGAGGAAGGGAGAGGGAGAGAGAGAGAGAGAAACATCAGTGATGAGAGAGAATCACTGATCAGCTGCCTCCTGCACATCCCCCACTGGGGATTGAGCTGCAATTCATACCTTGACCAGGAATCGAACCGTGACCTCCTGGTTTATAGGTCAATGCCCAACCACTGAGCAACACCAGCTGGGCAAGACAACCAGCCTCTAACTCCCCATGTTTCTTGGCCTTCTAGCTCCCCATGCTATTCCAGGCCAGATTTTAAGGAAAAGATGCCAAAGATAGTGAAATCAGACTATAGGCAGTTCTAAGGCAGGGCTAGACCTAGGGTAGTGGTAGAAGGAAAGAAAAGGAAGTGTGAGCACACTGTGAAAGAATAACTTGTCAATGGGCTATGTGGGATTGGGAAGTGGGATAGATTGTAGATTATTTGAATGTTTCAAAAGTTAGGTACCTTGAAGAGCTCCATTAACAGAATAGAGAAACCAGGGAAGAAAGCTGAGTTGGGGGACATCATGGTAGCTTCATTTTTAGAATTTTTACAAGCCTATTGAAAATGAGGCAATATCCCATGAAAATGTTAAGCAAATAATTAGAAACATACAGCTGAGGTCCTGGGGAGGGGCCACAACTGTAGAAACAGACGTGTTCATCAGCACAGTGGTATTAGTTGATGATGTGGGCATGACTCAGCGGAAGGGAGTGAAGAATAAGGACTAAGGCTGGAACATTGGGACATATCCATATCTAGTAGTTAGAAGGGAGGGGGAGGGAAAAGCACCAGACCAGTAGGAGATCCATTTATGGGTAAAATCAGTGAAGCCAAAGGAAAAACTTTAAACAGATTGTGTGGTCCATGAGGGCTATGAGTAGACAGAGGTCAAGGTTACTTACTGAACAGAAAAGACCTGTGGATCAGAAAGACTGTTGTTGGGGTCCAGCCCCAGCAGGTCCAGGGGTTCCCAAAGGTGGGAACGGAGTTGGAAAAAAAGGAGTGACACAGAGGCAGTGTTCAGTTGATCATCATAGCCAGGTTCTCTTGCCAGGATCTCCAGCCAAGTTCTGTGTAGGTTCTCCTGTCATGTTCTCTTGCTAGGTTCTCCAGCCAGGTTCTATGTTTTATTGTCTTGTTACATCTGTATTTATACCAGTTGATTTTAATCCTATCAATTTCTATTCCAAGGGTTAGGGCGTTTCTTATCTCCATTCCAGGGAGTAAAGATTATGTAGCTTAAGCGTGATTGTTCGTAGTTAAAGTGATTAACTATCTGCCTGGCACTTAGTTAAGGGGTTTTATTCCCTTCCTAACTTCAGGGAAAAATCCCTACCTGGGGAAACAACCTTTCTCGGAGAGGTGACCTTGGTTAAAACACATAGCGCCAAGAAGGGGAGCAAACATATTAAGAACAGTATGCCATATATGCCAGGTCCCTTGAAACATATGCTGTGCAGATGTTTCTTCCCTGCAGCGACTGTGTCAAGCAGCAAGGATGGACCGGCTTCTGGCAGACTGTCCTTTCACTATCGGCGGAGCTAGAAGCCAGATTGAAGTAGGGAAGGGAGGAGAGATTGATGAAGTGGATATAGCAGATGTAGATTGCCCTTGGAGTTTAAGAAAGGAAAGACAAAAATGAATAGTTATCAGAGTGAGCAGGAGCATCAAGTGAAGTTTTAAAAATATGAAATAGTCTTGTGACATAGAAAGTTTGAAGGTTCTAGAACGAGAAATGGTTGAAAGACAAAGGGTATGGTGTTCAGGGCTCAGATAGGGGATTATTGGGATGGAAAAGATTCATACTTGCTGTCACTTCCTTCCTGGCCAAAGCAGTTGTCCTTAATCAGCCATGGCAAGTAGCTATGCTCTCCCAATCCTGTAGGTCATTGGGTCAGAGTTGCCATACCAAGTTGGGCTTTCTGTAGATACACAACAGCAGCAATTACGGTGTTTATTTGCCCAACAAGTGCCAAGGTTTGTTTTAATTTTTTAAGTGCATAGGAGTTGGACTATATTAATTCTAGGAAGAAACATGGTAAGATATATTGAGTCATGATAACAGAAACCTAAGTTGTAGATGAATATTTTCATAGCAGAGAAGTTTTAGGATATAGAAGCACAGACATTTGTTTGACTTTCACTAAAAGCCCCTGATTTGTGTGACTATCCCAGACTTACCACTATGTAAAAAACTTTTAGAACCCAAAAATTTTCAGGAAGTTTGGGTCCCGAGGGAGGGGGCTTATGCTAACTTTTGCCTCCTTTAATTCCTGAATTTCACTCTCTGTGTCTTACTCTCCATAAGCAGCTAGTTCTACTCTGTAATCATTGCAGTTGACCTATTTCTAATATTAGTTTTCTCTGGTGTATAAAGCTATCTACATATATAAAAAGCCAGCCACCTGAATGTTGGAACGACCAGTCACTATGGCGCCCACTGCGGTCAGTGAACCAGCCCAATTGGAGGTTGGGTCCGGCTGGCCAACCTCCTGCAGCCCCTCCCCCCGCCCAGCCCCATCCCTGATGGGCCCCCCCCACCCCAATTGGCCCACGGCCCCTCCCCCCAGCCAGCTCTGCCCCCAATCAGCCCCCCCACCCTGATCAGGGGCAGGGCAGGCCAGCCAACCACCCATGGCCCCTCCACAGGCTGCTGGCCCCCAATTGGCCCCACCCACCCAATTCTAGGGCGGGACCAGCCAGCCCACATCCCCTCCCCATGGCTGGCCGCATCCCCAATCAGCCCCCACCACCCCCATCGGCCTGCAGCCTGGCCCTGATTGGAACCTCCCGCCGTCTCCTCCTCCTGACAGGCCCAGCTCCAATCTGCCCCGATTGGGGCTGATTGCACGAATTCGTGCACTTGGCCTCTAGTTTTCTTATAATTTAAAAGGATTAATTTAATTCTAGATTTTGGATACAAAGGACCTTACAATAGAAAAAGTGGTCATCAATGGACAAGAAGTCAAATATGTTCTTGGAGAAAGACAAAGTTACAAAGGATCACCCTTGGAAATCTCTCTTCCCATTGCTCTGAGCAAGTATGAATATTACCCTCTTTCACAGCTAAATAATAGAGGAATATATTTTCCATTAATTTAAACATTTTTTTCTTTTCTGTTTTTAGTTTGTGTGTATGAAGTAATTGGTACACTATGCCCACTGATCTGTTACTCAGATTGAAGCTTATATAAGTGAAAATTATATGTTCTTAAGATACTAAAGAAATTCATTGCATGAAATACTCAAGAATAGGACTTTTGATAACTGTTACTTCTTTACTCATCATGTTACCAATGTCTAGTAAAATGTGATAGTGGGAGCATGCTGTCTTAAGGAGGTATTTCAAGATCACCTGGGAAGCTTTTGCAAGCTGCACATTTTTCACCTTTACCAAGAGGCCAGCCACTTTTATTAATGGAATAATAACAGTGACAAACAGAGAACCATTTCTATGTCATAATCTTGAGATAAGTGCTTTAGATGCAATCTTTTACCTAATCCTTACAGTAACCCTCTGGGTAGGATCTGCACTTTACAGATGAGGAAAGGAAAACTCGAAGTAAGTAACTTATTCAAGAAATGACAGCCAGAATTGTCATATTAGGAGTATATTCCACTCCTTGATATATTGGGGAAGAGAAAAGGGCAGAAAACCACTGGCCTAGAACAAGGGTGATCTTCCCCACCTTTTAGTGGCCAAGTTTCCATGCCTTCTCTTTCCAGTTAAGAAAAAGAAAGGAAAAACCCACACATCATTTATGAGGTGGATGTCATTAACCCCATTCTACAGGTGAAGCAACTATGGCAGGGGTCCTCAAACTTCTTAAACAGGGGGCCAGTTCACTGTCCCTCAGACCGTTGGAGGGCCGGACTATAATTTAAAAAAAACTATGAACAAATTCCTATGCACACTGCACATATCTTATTTTGAAGTAAAAAAACAAAACGGGAACAATACAATATTTGTATTTGCATGTGGCCCGCGGGCCGTAGTTTGAGGACCCCTGAACTATGGCATAGGAAGGTCAAATAATTAGCACAAGTAAGTGGCAGTCAGGACTCAAACACTAGCATGGCCGCTGGTCCCCCGCACTGTCTTGCTGTTTCCTCACTGTCTGTGCTGCTCAAACTATTGGGGCGAAGGATTAGTTTTTGTTATTTCTAATCCGCCACAGACGGATACTTTCGTTGGATGCAATAAAAATGAAATACAAGGAAGGAGAGATTAATCCAAGCACACAGTTTTGATGACTAGATTCCACAAACAAAAACGACTCTAAATGTTTCTAAAAGCTTATTCTCAATTTCTTGACTTAACCTTGTTTAGTAACAGTTTGCAGTTTAATAACTGCAATACATTATACTCTGGACCCACTGCTGTGTAGTCCAAGTTTCAAAATTATTTCTTCCATTTTCCCACTATCATAAAAGATTACATTGTATCTCACACACAAAAAGCTGGGGTATTCTAATATTAGTTCCTGTTACATCTTTATAAGCAGTTAGTTTGGTAGAATGAAAAGGATTCAGGCTGGCATTCAGGTAGGAATGTGAGAGGCAAACTTACCCACTTAGGACGTGACATTTCTAGAGCTTACTCTCAGTAACAAGACCACGTAAAATATTATTTCTGTTATTCAGTGTTGATATTATGAATTCAGATTTTAGTTAGATTGAATTATACTGTACTAATATATTGGTTTGTTTCTTACAGAAATCAAGAAGTGGTTATAGAAATTTCTTTTGAAACATCGCCAAAATCTTCTGCCCTGCAGTGGCTCACTCCTGAACAAACTTCCGGGAAGGAGCACCCATATCTCTTTAGTCAGTGCCAGGTAAAAACAATTCAGAATGAGTTATTATTCCCAGCTCATGAAGTTGAATGAAGCAAAGTAGACAGTGGTCTTATGGATACATGGGTTTTACCTAAGATAGCAATTTAATTAATCTATTGTAAAAATAACATTTTCATTTCTATCTCTCACTATTAATGGATTCACATATTACTTTAACAAAAGAAACATTCTTTAATTTGAAAACATGTCTACCTAGATTGGACTATCTGAGTCATATTTATATTGATATTCCAGCACCTAGCCTAGAACTTGGCATACAGTTTGCACTTAATAAATGGTCATAAAATGAAAGTTTAATAAAACAAAATCTGTAATGATTACGAACATTGTTAACAATAAAGAAGTAGAAAGTGAAAGATCAGATTTCCTAATTCTCTTCAGACATCATTACCTAGAGCACCCACCATTGAGGTAGGTGCATAGCCCCTCCAATCTCCTTACACATGCACAAAGTGTACACTAAATGTACCTTTAAAACAATATGATGTAAACATCTGTTTAAAATCTAAGAGTAGAGACAATTTATCATAAAAATAGTAAGTATCAAACTCTGTTCTGAAAGGAAAAAAAACACCTAATTCTGTCAGTAATCAAATAGTTGACATTAAAGGAACCCACTTCATTAGCTGTTTATTATATTTCCAAGCATTGTGTTAGATACTTTGCATATTTTAATCCTAATATTCCTGCATGACAGATATTGTGGTAAGCTCAAATTTGAATGCAAGTGTATAAAAAAGGAAGCAATGTTGGCACATGAACTAGACATGGTTACTTTCTTTTGCCAATTGAAATACCTTTTCAATCTAAGAAACCCTTAGATTTAACCTGAAAGAGATAGAACACTCTAGGCCAGAGTGTACAAGCTGTGCACTCTCTTAGTAATACCTGATTCTAAGTAATTCTTATAGAGTGTCCATAAATTAAAGTTGGCAGGAACTGCAAGATTCGTGAGCCATAAGAATGTGAATTTTGAATATTATTCCATTTCTTGTTGGCAACAGTTTTTGAAATAGAAGAAAGAGATTTCAGTTAAATTCAGAAATTATTGCAGTTGATAGGAAGCATGTAGATACGATTTTGGTTGAGAAATTTGTTTACAATTGTCCTCTCTGCGTATTTGCCTGGGTTTGGTCTTATCTAGTGAAATGCATATAAAAACTCCTTGGCATTGCCGAGTCACCTAACCAGAGCCCATGAAAGAACTTAAAAAGCATGGTCTTGAAACCTCATTTTGGGCGAGAGAACCAGGTGGTTCTTCTGGTTCTACTCCATTCATCTAGAAGTCAGTTGGGATCTCATATCTTTGGAGAAGCTACTAGATCTGAAGTGAAAAGGGCAGGAGTTTGGGGTTTTAAGGAAGTTTGTGGTGTCATGAAGTCTGTCTATGAATTATAACAGTCGCAGAGAGAGAACATTAGGATCAGCATTCCTTTAGGCTCAGTAGACTCTCGATAAGGCTGGGTTGCTTTGCTCACCAGCAACAAATACAGACTTGGTTGTAAACAGGCCAAGATCTAAAACCGTAGGTGCTCTGCTGTCCTTCTCCATGGAACCCATGTTGATGACAGACTGATGTGGAAGCAAAGGAACACTTTACATGTTTCATGAATGAACTTGCCTGCATGGTATTGAGAGAGACTGTTCTTCCTCCTTTTCTGCCTAGTTCTTACCTTCAGGGTTTGCTGCAAGATTGGAAACATCATGACTCAAGCAGCGTTTTCCAAACTGTGTTTCTCAGAACACTGGCGTCCCATTAGCTGTTACTCACCAGAGAAAAATGGGTTTCATGTTTAAAAAAAGTGTGAAAACAGGCTTCTTTATTTTAGGTCTCTGCAGAGGCTTCAGGACACAATGTTCCTAGTGACTCTCCAAGATCCCAAGTGTATTTCACCAAATAGCCCTTTTTTCCTAACAGCTTATCTATGGGCACTACTGTTACTCAGAGCACAGAGTAGGAAACACTGCATAGCACTGCTTCATTTTCCAGCCTGAAATGCGATCATTGAGCATGCATTAAAATGGAAAACCAGATTTTTTAAATTGGCAAATACATTTTTGCTACTTTAAAAGATCCCAAGAATTGTGAGATGTGTTTTTATCTTTAAAAAGAATGTGTCTAAGGACAATGCTGCAATTCTAATGATTTTTTTTTTTTTTGGTTCTGATTTGGTTTATAAGAAAGGGAACCAGCTGTTTCTTGTTCTCTCTCCCCCTCCCAGGCCATCCACTGCCGAGCAATTCTTCCTTGCCAGGACACGCCTTCTGTGAAATTAACCTACAGTGCAGAGGTAAATACCACAAATTATTCACTGAATTAAGTGATTCATGTAAGTAAATGTAATATAAATGATAAGCAGAGATAAGCATTGAATTTTTGTTTAATTAAATTCTACCTGAAATATGTACAAAAGAGGCTGTGGACCTCATTTTGAATTTTTCTTTTAAAGGCAGTTTTGAACATAAGTGTAAAAAAAAAAAGAAATGAGTAGCATTCTGAATTTAAAAAGAATTCAGAATTCTGCACCTAAAAATAAGATTATGGGAACAATTTTTTTAAAACTTTAAAAAATGGACATTTGCAGAATTAAAAGTTCTGTGAATGTACTCTATACCCATATAAACATCTAACAGGCATATATGACAAATTTTTCTATACATTTCCAACTTATTCTTGTCCTGAGTGCTGCTAGTCCTTTTAGGAAAAGGTGAATTATAGTTAGTAAATGAATACTATCCCGGAGGCCAGACCTACTTAGACCAGTGGTCGGCAAACTCATTAGTCAACAGAGCCAAATATCAATAGTACTTCTTCAAAATAGACTCGCCCAGGCCAAAAACCAACTTCTGCGCATGGGCCACGAAGTTTCAATCGCACCATCCGCGCGCCCGCACGTGGTATTTTGTGGAAGAGCCACACTCAAGGGGCCAAAGAGCCGCATGTGGCTCGCGAGCCGCAGCTTGCCAACCACGGACTTAGACCAAGCCAATAGAATTGAGGACTAACCTGTGTTTATGGGCCCTTCTTGATTCCCAGATCATCCTACAACCAACCTACACCTTGTAGAGTGCTATAACCTTGAAGGCAAAGAATCTCAGGTTCTGGACTCCTCCACCACTTAATAACTGCATGACCCTGGGCACGTCTTATGACCTCACAACCTCAATTGTCTCATCCGTATAACATATCACTGTGTAAATGAGGGGAGGAAACAGAACCAAATTATTTTCTGAATGCTTTTAGTTCTAGGGTCCATGGTGATTATAGCACTTGGTTCTGGAGCTTCCGATTCTGTGCCTGCCTGCTTTGAGTACTAGACCATGCAAGAAAAATAGAGTCTAGCACTCTCTAGCTCTTACTAGAATGGGTGCTTGCTGGATCATTAATATTCAGAGGATAGTCCTGATTCTGGCACTCATTAGAAACAAAACTTTCAGAAGCACGGAGCTGGGGTGCACATTTAAGTGACTGTACGGTTTGCGCCAGAAGGATCTTTTCCATACAAATTTCCAGAGAAAATTATTTTTCAGTTCTTGGCAATAACTTTCAGTTTCTCATACGATGACCCTTTAAAAGTTCTATTTGTTAACTCCAAGTTTAAGTTTTAAATATAAAATTGTTCCAAACTCTGTCCTAAAGTGAATGTAGGAGCCTTTGAACCTGTAGAGGGGAGAGGTGGTGGTGGCTGTCATTGCCGGGCATGGTGCTGGCTCTTTGTGTGTGTTATCTATTCCCTGCAGCAGGCCTATAAAGTATTGGCCTCATTTGATGGAGAAACAGAGGCTCAGGGAGGTTCTTTGCCCAAGTCCAGGCATTTAGTTTCTACCAAGTGTTCTTAATACGGATGGATGAATGGATAGATGGTTCACATTTGCTTTTAAAGAAGCCATCACATTTGCTTTTAAAGAAGCCAGCTTTACATATTGCTAATTCTATTTACAAAGCTGATACATCTGAACTTATTGGGTTCAGGGTCTATTTATTATATAGATAGTCACAACTTGGGGGGAAAAAGTTATGTTACATAAATAGTTCAAGAAACATAGGACCTTTTACTTAAAACTGGAAATGATTTTTCTTGTCCATGAGGTGTCTGTCCCTAAAGAACTGGTATGGAGAAGCACCTGACCCAGAAGATCCGAGCAGGAAAATATACAAATTCAGCCAAAAAGTAAGTTCTTAGGGTCTGGATTTTCCTATGAGTTGGTGGTTGAATTATAAATAGCTCTTACCTATCCAGGAAGCAAAATTGCTTTTGAAGTATTTCAGAATTTAGAAAGCGGCTTGTTTTTCCTTTTTCATCATTTCTTTTCCTTTTGTGCTTTTGAAATATTTTGTTCTACTTATAGTGTCATGTTGAAGAAAGAGGTTGCTAGATAGGCATAGTAGCGGGCATGCCAGATCCCGTTTTTCCTCATCCCAGTTAGTAGCAGGTTTCCTCTTCCTTTAAGTTATTATACTTTTTCCTGCGCTGGTACCAGAGTGTGGTCCTTTAGTGTTTACAAATGGAAGAGCAGTTTTAGGCCAAAAAAAAAAAAAAAGCATTCTGGTACAGTTGTTTTAAGTTAAAATTTCTATGTAGCACAGTGGACAATTTTGCTCCCACCCCAGCTTCTGAGATTCCAAGCTCCCAAACCTTCAGCATCTTCTTACTGCTGAATTATTTTGTTTTTCTCTTAAATTACACCAGGAGTGGTTTAGAAAAATGAGGTTTTTTTTAAAAAAAAAATTTAAATCAAGAAAAATAACCTAAAAGAAGGGTACAGTTGTCTTAGAGGTTAATTTTTGAGAAATGCTTAAAATATATCTTGTGCAATATGTTTTTCACATTTCAGAAGCCTTCCTAATGGAATAAAAGGGAGATAGATGTTTTGAAATGTTGTATATTACAATTTTGATCTCTTAAAAATAAGAACTATTTGAGAAGTACAAAAGGAAAGTAATCCATACTACTGTTTGGACATTCAAAAGGAAATTCACTTACTTTTAATACAAATTGTCTTACTTTGTAACATTTTCAAACACTAATTCAAGCATGTGGTGTGTTTTGTTTGCCCCCTTTAGGTCCCGATTCCCTGCTACTTGATTGCTTTAGTTGTTGGAGCTTTAGAAAGCAGGTGAGCTTTTAGACAAATTTTGAGGTTTATAGAAAGATTGAACCTTAGGCATCTTGAACATTTGTTTGGGATAACCTAGTCGGCCATTTGTGTGTTTTTTAACATATCAAGCTGGCAGTTCTAGAAACATTAAAATCTAATTATAAAATACTAGAGGCCCGGTGCACGGATTCCCTCGGCCTGGCCTGTGCCCTCTCGCAATTCAGGACCCTGCGAGGGATGTCGGAGAGCCGGTTTCAGCCCGGTCCCCGCAGGCCAGGCCAAGGGACCCCACCAGTTCACAAATCCGTGCACCGGGCCTCTAGTATACATATAAGATCTTTGGTTAATCTCTTCCCACCCTCCCTCCTTCCCCCTTTGCTCTGAGATTCATTAGTCTGTTCCATGTTTCTATGTCTGTGTGTTGAGCATCTGCCCCCTGGTGATCAGTGCATGTCATAGCTACCGGCCAAATGGTTGAACGGTTGCTTAGGCTTTTATATATATAGATAACAAATTAATTTTAAATTAAAAAACCTTTACCGGTCACTGACTACTTAGATTCTCCAAGTATGATAGACTGAGCATGCACTTACCTTTAGTTAGAGGTCTTGGACCAGTCACTTCTCATAGCCTCCTTGTCGTCATTGTAAAGATATCTCCCTTCCCTGCCTCATAGGGTGTTTATGTGAAACAAATGAGATAAAAGATATGAAAGCACTTGGAAGTCTATAAATATTCAAGACATATAAGATATTTTATTAAAATTTTACCAATATACAGAGTGCCCTTCCTTAATTTTTTTATTTATTTCTAAATAACTAAAAAATAAGAATATCTTTAGTAACTACACTCCCTAAATTGCCAGAAATAAGGACGTGATAGAGAAGTCAGGCAAACACAGATTCTGATCCTAGCTCCAGTAGTTACTAGCTATGTCCGTGGGTTTCATTTTTTTCATCTAAAAGCTAGAAATAATAATATGGATTTCAAAGGCTTTTTGTGAGGATTAACAGACCTAACCAATGGGAAGCCATTCACTAAATGATGATTATAATGACTGTCACAGTAGCTGACAATTTTTTTTATTTTTATTTTTAGTAGCTGACAATTTAAAAGATCTTATTATGAACCATCTCCAATGCGTTATCCCATTGAATCCTCCCATCTCTGTAAAGTAGATACGGTTATTTTTCCCCCGTTTACCAGTGCTTGGTGAGTTTTAGTAATTGGCTTAGAGTCATATAGCAAGGAAATGGCAGAGCCAGGACCCAAACAGATCTAGGTTTCTGTGAGCTCACAACACAGACCCTTACTCTGTAGTGTGGCAGCTGCTGACCACATGAGGTCTGAGATGTACTGTAAATGTAAAGTACACACTGGGTTTCTAAGGGCTTAGTATGAAAAGAAATGTAAAACACATCACTACTCATTTTTTATGTTGATTATAGGCTGAAATAATATTTTGGATGTATTGGATTAAACAAAATATATTAAAATTATTTTTATCTATTTAATTTTGCTTTTTAAAAAATGTGGCCACTAGACCATTTGAAATTTCATATGTAGCTCACATTTGTGGTTTTCATTAAATTTATGTTGAATCGCATTGGTTACCGTTGCTACTCAGTGTAGTCTGCATTCCAATAGCTTAGGCATCAACTGGGTGTTGGTTCAGAAAAGCAAATTCTTGGCCCCTGTCCCAGACTAACTACATCAGAATCTGTATTTTTACAAGCTCCCAGGTTATTTGTATGCACATGAAAGTTTGAGAAGCACTGTTGTAGAGTTCATTTCCTCTCTGGGCCAATACCAAGGCAAGTCTTGTTGCTTGGAGTTTTGTGTTACATAACATATTTTAGATGAAAAAAATATATTTTTTAGTTTAAGCTCTATATAAGTGATATATAGTTCTATTTGTTTCTTCCTTCTTATTGTGGTTTACAAAGGACCTGGAATTTAACATCTTAACCATTTTTAAGTGTACAGTTCAGGAGTAATAACTACATTCACATTGTTGTGAAACAAATCTCCAGCACATTTTCGTCTTGCAAAACTGAAACTCTATACTCTTTAAGCAACAATTCCTTGCGTCTCCCTCTCCCTGGCTCCTAGTGACCACCCTTGTACTTTCTGTTTCTATGGATTTGACTACTTTAAATACCTCATAAGTGGAATCATAGAGTATTTGTCCTTTTGTAACTGGTTTATCCACTTAGCATAACACCCTAAAGATTCGTCCATGTTGTAGTATGTCACAGGATTTCCTCCCTTTTCTATTTGTTTCTTTTATAGAAGAAACAAAGTTTACATCCACCCCTGTTCTGGAATAATCTCTTAGTGAGCTGCAAGTGGGTTTCTACAGTTGTGAGACTGAGGGAGGAAACTAGATCCCACGTGTCTTACCAGAAGCCAGTAAACTAACCTTTGGGGGTACCTTGTCTCAGTTTTCATTTGGCCCAGACTGTGTCTCCTTAGAGAGCTGCATGTCCATTGCTGCACACACAACAGCAGGCTTGTGTCTCTGAGAGGGCATTTAACCTCAGCCCTGCCCTGAGCACATGGTGAATCACACTCCTACTGGAGGATTTGTATACAGTGCTTTAAATCTCTCCTAGAGCCAGGTACGTAATTTGCCTTGAATTCCTTTTTAATAGGCTTTTTAATTTTGCAGGCAGATTGGCCCGAGAACATTGGTGTGGTCTGAGAAAGAGCAGGTGGAAAAGTCAGCTTATGAATTTTCTGAGGTTAGTCACCCTTTTTAACAATTGTGGTAGACGGTCATTTTAAGAATTTGAGTATGAAAGGTGATGGTGTTAGGTGATGTGATAAAAGAATCAAATACATCTTATTTTATGTGAATTTGCATCTGCTACATTTTTTGTATTGTTTTCATTTCAAATGAGCATCATTAACTTATAAGATTCATAGAAAACAATATATACTTTTAAGAATTTATTATGCTAATGAAGACATACAAATATATATGCATTAATTTTCCAGACTGAAACTATGCTTCAAATTGCAGAAGATCTGGGAGGCCCATACGTATGGGGGCAGTATGACCTATTGGTCCTGCCACCATCCTTCCCTTACGGCGGCATGGAAAATCCTTGCCTCACTTTTGTAACTCCGACTCTGCTGGTAAGTGTGCATATTTTTCATTTGAAATTGCGTTCTTCTCAAACATAAACCTAGGAATAGAGAACCTTAGATTTCCAATAATTTTTTTAAAAAATTTATTTATATGATGCTTGTTTCTAATTTTATTGTTTATTGTGGTTATCATCATCTCATTTTTCAAAAGAAAATAATTTGGCCATTTGGGAGAAAAAAATATTTTGTGTAAGCTGTTTGGGATTTTAAGGGGTGGAGTGCTGTGTAACAGCAATCCATTGATGAATTATGTATCCAGACAAAGAAACTATACCATTTACATTTGGCATATAGGTACTGGTATAAAACAAACAAACAAAGAAAAAAACCCTCACTTTACCTTCCTACAACCCAGTGAGTAGGATTAGCAACTAAATAAGGAAAATAAAATACATCATAGGAGACACTATACAATTTTTAAAAACATACTGTGGATAATAGAGAGGAAGAAGGTAAATAAGGGTAAATAAGAGCAATATAAAAAATGGAAGTAGGAGAAGTGTCTCCCAGAAGTTAATTAGAGACAAGAATACTGGCCCTGCTGGTATTGGAAAATTTCTCTGGGATTAGGAAAGAATTATGCTGTTTTTTAGTTCTGCATTTTCTGTTTTATTTTCTAAATACATGTCTGTTTTGAACTCTTAGGCATGCCATGCAGAAATACAATGCCAGGGAGTTAATGCCAGAATAGTACATCTTGATATAGGCTGTAATTTGATTACTGAACTACTAAGGTCATTTTCTTCTTTTTTAGGCAGGTGACAAGTCCCTCTCCAATGTAAGTTAAACATTTGTTGTCATTGTCTTACCCTCATGAAGTATTAAGTCAACTGAATTTAAAACTATCCATTGCATTGTTATGTTAAAGATACGGTTATAAAAGAATACTTCAGAATTCTTGTTGTAAAACATTGTTACATTAACTGTTATTAATAGTTAAATACATTAACCATTCTTAAATCCTTAGCAGATTTAAGAACATTTTATGGTTTTTATCTCTTCACATGTTCATTAAATACTTTTTAATGAAGTGATGTATCCATTTAATTTAATATTTTCTAAATGAGTTTTTGTTCCTAATTTTTTTAAACTGTTATACTTTTTTGTCTTTTGCTAAATTATATTTTTTTTGATGAACTGAGTAATAACGTGAACCTCCCAGCTAAATGTTTAAAAAAATGAACTTAGAATTGAAAGAACTAGAATGTTTACATTTACATAGTGAGTTATTTTAGAATAAGGTAATGAATTTTACTACTAATTGCATCCATTGTTTCCTTTAGGTTATTGCACATGAAATATCTCATAGTTGGACAGGAAATCTAGTGACCAACAAAACTTGGGATCACTTTTGGTAAGATTTTTTTTTATTGGTTCTTCATATTAATTTCTTTTCCTGCCTCCCACCACTCTGAATTGTTTTGTGTGTATATCTTGTTTGTCTTTGGTATCACCTCTTTGGTGCACAGATTTTTTTTTTTTTAATTCTGTAACACTTGTCGCAGTGTTAGGTAGAGTAGAGGTATTCGGTTTATGCTTGTTCTTTAGTTCCTGGGATAGTCACAGCTTAGGACACATAAAACCAGAACCATGGCCTAATTTTCCCTGCCGCCCTCTGCTTGGCCAGGCTTCCCATTGTTCTGGATTGGATGCAGGGAAGCACCCCGGGCAGCCGCCTAGACAGGAGTGGTCATGTTTTACAATTGCTTTACTTTGTAGAAAAGCCCAAAAGGAAATACCTTGTTGATTGTAATGCCTTTTCCTCTCAGTTGTGTCACTGTTTTTATTTTTATTTAAAATAAATTTTTCAGGTTAAATGAAGGACATACTGTGTACTTGGAACGCCACATTTGCGGACGGTTGTTTGGTGAAAGGTTCAGACACTTTCATGCTCTGGGAGGATGGGGAGAGCTACAGAATTCGGTAAAAGCAGTCATCCGAAATTGTATACGTGTTCAAAAATTTAGGTTTGAAAGCACCTTTCCTCAGTAGCAACAAGAAAATCATTTTCACAGGGTGGAAAATCTAGTGGATGCTGGTATAATATTCTGTTGGACTCTGCCCCAAATGTGTTCATGACCAGTAGGATCTCATTAGGTCTTTGCAAGTAAAATAGTCAGTTACTGTGTTTGAATTTTATTTGGTATATTTGTTACTTTAAAGTGCTATCTCCTGAAAGCTGAATTTTCTGGCCAGGCATGGAAACACTTTTCTAGTCTTTTACAAAGAATAAAGCTTATTACAGGGCAAGAAATACCAGGGAACATTACGTAAGTAGCCATTCCATTAATAGACTTCCAGAAATTTATGCTAACATATCCTACAGTTTCCAGTCTCTGAGTTGTGTATGTTCTAGACTCCCCTAAAATGTGCCACTGTGGGAAGTAATACTTCCTCATTAGTTTGTTTGCATGGTGGTAACTAGTCTTCATATTTGAACATTCATCCAACTTTGTGTCTTGCAGATAAAGACTTTTGGGGATACACATCCTTTCACCAAATTGGTGGTTGATCTGGCGAATGTAGACCCTGATATCGCATATTCTTCAGTTCCCTATGAGAAGGGCTTTGCTTTACTCTTTTACCTTGAGCAGCTTCTTGGAGGACCAGGCAAGTCATTGGCATTTTCTGAAATTATTTTTGGGGGGTAACATGAAGAACAAGGAAGAATTTTGCACTGTTGATTTTGCTCCATTTTATTCTTCCAGTTCCTTCTGTATGTAGTTGCTGAAGAAATCTGTATCATTTTCTAATGTTACCTCTCTACTTAAAATCTTGAACCACCAAGTTCAAAATTGTGCTGCTTGACTTAAAAAAGCACACACACCAACGCATCAGTATTTTACAAGTTAGGAAAATACTACATATTCATTGAAAAAAATGTGTGTGGTATAGAAGTTTATAAGAGTGAAAAGTGAGAGTTGCTCAGTGACCCTTCCACTCCCCAGGGATAACCACTATGAGTGGTCTGGTGTGGACGGCTGCAGATATTTTTCCAAGTGTAAATGAACAAATAGGCAGATAAATATATACAATTGTTTTGATTACAGAAAAGGAATCATACTACATACTTACTCTACATTTCTTCAATTCAATATTTCACATATATCCCCCCATATCAGAATATACAAGTCTATCTCACACTTTTTAATGCCATCCTAGTATTACGTGGTATGGATGTGCTGAGTGTATGTAACCTTCCCCGTTGCTGGGCGTGTAGGTATTCTCCTTTGTTGAAGGACTTTGAAAGCCCTTCCTCCTCTGGGCCCATTCTGCCCGCCCGATATTTCTCTCTTAATTGAGTCATTGCCTTTAGAACTTGTGCTGTGTATTACTTTTCGGTGTCTTCATTGTGTGATCCCTTTACCGATAATTAGGATTTCTCTTCTCCCTTCAATCAAGTTACATATATCTTTCAAGTTCCAACTTAAGTCCTACCACCTTTTTTGAACACTGACTCTTTTCTGAATGTTCTCTGTGGTTAACAGTACAATACCAAGCACCAGAAAAAAATGTTAAATAATTACCTTTCCATTAATAGACTTTTTTTTTTTTAACTTTCAGAGGTTTTCCTAGGATTCCTGAAGGCTTATGTTAAGAAATTTTCCTACCAGAGCATAACCACTGATGACTGGAAGGACTTCCTGTATTCTCACTTTAAAGATAAGGTTGGCTTTAAAGAGCACTCTTATTTTTCATGCCCAATATGTCTTTAACAGCTGTTTGCTGGCTGACTTGAATTACTTAATAGTAGTATTGGTCTAAAATTTGTTTTGAGGCTCAATCTTTTATTGTATTTTTTTTCTATTTAAAATGTGATCTGAACAGCATGAACTAATGTATAGAATTATCCTATTTCTGAGACATCTGTGATAGTGTTTTAGAATTTTTTTGTATGTACTTTTCATATCTATTTAACAGAGCATGACTAATATGAATTTATTTTAGAAAAGAGACTTAGAAATTATCTTGACATGTCAGTATAAATTATAGATTTGAGTACCTAAAAGTCTGTTTTAGATTTAGATTTGGAAAAAGTTGTTCTGTAGAAAACTGGGTGTTCTTACTGTTCACAGGTTGATATTCTCAATCAAGTCGACTGGAACACCTGGCTCTACTCTCCTGGACTGCCTCCTGTAAAACCCACGTCAGTGCTTACCCTGCTTATGGTTTCCTTCTCATTCTCCCAAATCCTGAAGCTCCTCAAACTATCTGAAAGGGTTTCGTGCCTTCCTTAAGCTGTTACTAGTTAGTGATGAGAGCAGAGCTCTTAGGTGTTTGAACCTTAACCCTGAGGTCAAAAGAACAATCTCCGTGATAATTAAATATAAATCAGTTCAATTCATTGCAAGTAATTATTTAGTGCCTTCTTTTTGCACAAGGATGGTGCGAGAGAAAGATATTGCCCTTTCCTTGAACACATCGGCAATAAGAAAAATGACCTAAGTATTATGCTAATCATGATAACAGTGTTATAAGTTATCATTTCCAGAGGAGGCAAATGAAGTTTCAGTAGGTAAAGTGTCTTGCCCAGGGTTACACAACAAATAAGAAATAGGAGTTGAGATTCGAACCCTGGTTGTCTCATCTCCAATACAGAGACTTTTAAACTAAGAACCTTCCTCAATCAGGGACCCGAATCCTGGTCTTCCACGAGGATGCAAACTCGCGCATGTTCTAGCCAGGAATGCTGTTCCTGTTACATGGAATGCTCCTCACCCAGTTAATTCCAATCTCAGTGCGAGGATTTCTTGTGTCGCCTCTTCATAGCTGTTGCCACAGTAGTAATTCCACATTTACTTGTGTGATTATTAACATCTTTCTCCTTTACTACATTGAGGCACCGTGAGAGCAGGGCTCATACATATCTGGTTTTGCTCTTACCTTTCGTAGGACCTTGCCCTAAGTAAGGGTTGCTTCCCTCCTTGAGCTAATAATCCCTACCTTGTTCTTTTCATTACCATGAGAAGGAAATTTCAGGGCACCAAGAAACAGACCATCCAAAGGTTTTTACTGTCCTGTTTATTGGTGTGTTTTTTCTTAAATTAGTGCTAAGTAATGTTCTAGTTGAAGGTGATTTACTGCCTGAGCAATCCAGGGTCTCTGATCCCATTTGGTCTTAAGTACAGACCAAAGGGTTTGCCTACCGTCCACAGCCTGACTGCTTCGTGACGGTGAACTGGCAGCTGACTCAAAGGTCACTGCCTTCACCCTAGAACACAAACTCTCCTGAAGCAGGTTCAATGGTAACTTCTAATCAAAACTTACTTCGTGTGGGCCCTAAGGTACCCTCTGATCTCTAATAGAAACATTTCACAGCAAGCAAGCATGACTTACAGACGAAGAGGGCAATGTTTTGCAAGAATTTTGCACACATTACACGGTTTCTTCCATTATTGTAAAACATAAAAAAGAGAAATGAAATTATCATCACATGATTTCAGAGTCTCCCAAGGGTCTCTTGTGACAACCAGTATTTCCCCAGTGGTTAGAGCAGTGTCTGTCACGTAAGTGCTTGCAGATTTATTGGATGGTTCGGTGGTTGGAACAAGAGAATGTAAGATCCATGAGAGCAAGGACTCTGTTGTTTGTCTGCTGTCCGAGTGCCCAGAATTGCTCCTGCCGTACAGTAAACACTCAGTATGCTCAGCTGAGCCCCAGCTCCTTCAGCATTTACTACCCAGCATTTACTGCTCAGTCTTGCCTGAGATGTTCTGAAACACTCTTCAAAGAGTAATCAGGAGCTTCATTAATTTGGTATCCACTTGGATTTCTGAGTTCCTGGATGATGCCAGTCATATTTAAGTCAGGCAGACGATTTCTTATTCCCAGCACCCTGGAGATCTTTGTCTTTATTTAAAAATAACTTTGAAATTAAAGTATGACCTATAACCTCAAAATTGCATTTATGCAAAAGCATGTGCATTTTTCTCAATTTAATCTCTAATTTTTTTTTATCTTTGCAGTTATGATATGACCCTGACAAATGCTTGTATTGCCTTAAGTGAAAGATGGATTGCTGTGAGTAATACTGTGTGACTTTTGACTCCTATTTGAGTTGTACAAATATGTCTCTACACATGAAGGTGGTGGGTCAGGGGTTCTGATTTTTCTTGTTTCTTTTAAGCTCTTAAAATAAGTATGCAAAAATATCTGCATTTTCTCATTTCCTCATAAATCATTTGTAAGCTGCTACTTCAAATATAGCCATTACACATACCAAGGAAATCTAAAATAATCTTGGGTACTGTTTAATGCTCTTGGGGAAGAGTGGAGGCACTTTTGCTCTGTTGATATCACTGTTCTTTGAAACTCCCTAAAGAACAGCTTCTTCATGTATATACTGAAACTAACCCTTAGAGCAGCGGTTCTCAACCTGGGGGTCGCGACCCCTTTGGCAAACGACCCTTTCACAGGGGTCGCCTAAGACCATCCTGCATATCAGATATTTACATTACGATTCATAACAGTAGCAACATTACAGTTATGAAGTAGCAACGAAAATAATTTTATGGTTGGGTCACAACATGAGGAACTATATTTAAAGGGCCAGAAGGTTGAGAACCATTGCCTTAGAGAAACCAGCGTGAATACAAATCTTGGATAATTCTTACAGAGGAGGAAAAATAATTATTTCTCTTCCCTCTGAATTCTTAGCTGAGATCCCTGTAATAAAAGACAGATTAGCTGGGCCAGCGTGGCTCATAGGTCGACCTATGAACCAGGAGATCACATTTTGATTCCTAGTCAGGGCACATGCCCGGATTGTGGGCTTGATCCCCAGTGGGGGGCATGCAGGAGGCAGCCGAACAATGATTCTCTCTCATTGATGTTTCTATCTCTCTCTCCCTCTCCCTTCCTCTCTGAAATCAATAAAAATATATATTTTTTAAAAAGACAGATTAACATGAATGGTACAAAGGATGTCAAAAGTTTCCTCCACTCTTACTAACAGTCTAATTTTAAAAAATAATACAGGCTTTAGAAGGCATAGTGATGTAATCTCAGAAATAATAAAGTAGCTAAGGCTTTATTTTTTACAATTTCACATATTCTTATATTTCTATCTTTTTCTTAATTTTACTTTTATGTCAGATAAACCAATAAATATTAAATTTTACACAAATGGAAATAACCAAGTAACATTTATTGTAGGCCAAAGAAGATGATTTAAGTTCATTCAACTCAGCAGACCTGAAAGATCTCTCTTCTCATCAGCTGAATGAATTTTTAGCACAGATGCTTCAGAAAGTAAGTACTAGCTCAGAACATTAGGAATTAGAATGGGCATAATGCACAGCATTTACATCGAACCCAACCTGGAAGAAATGTTAATGTGGAAACCAATAGAAAAAAATAATTTACAAAATTCATTCACTTACTTAAAAATATTTGTTGAATGCTTAGTATGTTTAGTATTGTGCTGAATATAAAAATATAAATAAGAAATACACCATGTCCTCAAAAAGTTTATAATCTAGTAAGAAAGGTCACACATGCAAAAGTTAGCAATAAAAGGTGGTATAATTTATGTATCATTTGAGAAAAAGTTGATTAGGAAGAAGGACTTCCAAATGGCATAATCAAGGAAAGATTTGGAGGAGTGGGGCTTGCTTTGAGCAGAGCAGTGCTAGCAGGGAGGGAAAAAGTCAAGTCCAAGGGGGCAGCAAGTGACGGAGCGTGCCCCGTGCTGCAGGAGTAAATCGTCGCTCTGGTTAAGGAGTTAATGAAGGCTGGTAGGGTCTGATGGGGTAAGTCTTGAGTGCTGACAATTTTAGATTTTGTGCTCGTCAGTAGGAAAGGATTTAACATGTTTAACAGGAGAGTCGTTTGATGCAATGGTGGTTATGGAAATGACTCTGCTGGTAATGTGAAGGCTGGGTTGACATGAGGAACATCAGTGGTGGCGTTAGGTGGGAGGCTCACAGGAAGACCTGGCGTGAGGGAGGGGCAGGTGGGAAGGGAAGGAACAGGACAGATGAGAGGGACATCATACAGGATGAAAGCATAGGGTTTTGTGACTGACTGGATTTGGGGGTTACCAGGGAAGAATCTATGCAGATTTGAACGTTTCAAACCCAGGTAATTAAAGCAGTGTTTCACTGAGAGGAGAAGCTACATTTTGAGAGGGAGGTAATGACTGGGTCTTTACTGTTACATAAAGGGAGCTCTCCGGTCTAAGAACCTTGAGAGGGATGGAGGAGACTTTGAACAGAATTTCCTATGAAATGAGCAAAATGAGCAATGGGATTTCAAGGCAACAGGGACCTTAGAGAATCAATTTTTAGTACATCGAGTCATCATGATTTCACAAATGTCTGTAAGTACCGCTATGCGGCCTAGGACCAGGAAGGAGGAAAACGTGACGGGATGACTGGGAAATAGGAACAGCAAACGGGGAGAGTAGGGGGCCTAGGGGTGATCTTCACTGGCTGACCTGCCAGGGCGGCCTTGGAATTTAGTTGAGACTAAACAATTTGGAAGGATCTAGCAGTCAGTAAGAGCAGAGATGGTGAGTGAGTGTGGAGTGAGTTTTGTAAGTTGAGGTCATGGCTGGAGAAGAGAATTACCATCTACCTAGTGGCACCTCACACTCCACTTGTCCAAACTGAACTCTTCTTTCTTTTCATCACACAAACCCTCCCTGTTAAGATGGGTTAAGATGGGCACAGGAAGTTTATGAACCCCTGAAATTGTATATAGAAGTTTGTGTTTATATGGTAAATGCGGTGGTGTTTTGTTTTGGTTTTGTTTTTGTTGTTGTTGTTGTTGTGTTGTTGTTTTTTGGTTTTTTGTGTTTGTTTTTTTCACAAAGAAAGGGTCCAGTCCATATGATTCATCAGATTCTGAAAGGAGTCTGTAATATAAAAGTTTAAACACTGTTGTTTATGTAGGGCTGTAGATAATTTAAAAGAGATTTCAGAGGAAATATGCAAAGAAAACTGGGGGGGGGGGAATTCATGAGGAAACAATTAAGAAACTGTGATTTAATCTGGAGAATGGAATAAATTTAAAATATATCAGGAATAACTTGAAAGAAATATATCAGAAAGAATCTGAAAGTTAATAATTATATATACTAAAAAGTCTGAGGGCCATAATCCTCATTTAATTCTCTGTGTACTCCACAAATTAAATTATCCCTTTGCTCCTGGTAGAATATCCTTATCCAGAATAAGTTTGCACAAAATTTATTTTTGTGTGCATTTGTTTCTTTTATTTTTATCTAACTTACTTTTATATTAGAAAATATTTAGGATTTTAATCTGGCTAAGAATTTCTCTCCAGCTCCTTTCTTCCAAGGAATCCTGTTGAAATGATACGTTATACTTTTTCATTTTGCTCTTAGGCACCTCTTCCATTGGGGCACATAAAGCGAATGCAAGAGGTGTACAACTTCAATGCCATTAACAATTCTGAAATACGATTCAGGTACATCATTTTAACTTGTCTCTGTGGAAGAAAGTAGAAAACTAGTTTCAGTGGTGGAGAAAGGGAAAGCAGAGTCCTAACACATCCTGGTCAAATTTATTGCTTCTATATAAATAATTACAGTGTTTTTTAAGGAATAGTTGCAATCTCTATAAGATGATAGTATTAATCTTTTTATTAGAATCTGTTCTAAGCTTTTCTTGCCTTTAAAAATCATTAGGCTTAAGGATTCAATGGTAAATAGGCGTTCTCCAACAACTCGCCAAAGTAACTCTGAAATGAGAATGGTTAGAAATCTCTGATTCTGTTATGTGGTTAAACTTTCTTAATTTAGATTTGTAGTGTGAGGCTTAAACCAGAAATTGCATATATAAGGTACATGAGCACCTACTTACTCCAGACCTGTTAAAACGTATGATCTTTTAAAAAAACAAATTCCTCTTCCTTCTCTTCTCCAATTATTAAATTGTATATGTATTTGAAATTCTCAGAATAAAGTGGTGTACAGTGTAACCATAATAGGATTATTTATCATTACAAAAGTTATTTTCATATATACCTGTCATATCCTACCTCTTCCTCCTCCTTTCCTACCCCATATCCACTAAAATCCCGCTTTCAGATGGTTGCGACTCTGCATTCAATCGAAATGGGAGGAAGCAATTCCTTTGGCTCTAAAAATGGTGACTGAACAAGGAAGAATGAAGTTCACACGACCCTTATTCAAGTAAGAACCGAATCAAATTATGCTTTGAATTTATATAAGGATGAGGAAGAAAAAAATATTAAATAAATGTTTTTGTTGTTGCTAAAATTCTTTGTAAAATGCAATCTAAAAATAATACATATTTATATTTGTTAAAGGATATAGATCAGTGGTTCTCAACCTTCCTAAAGCCGCGACCCTTTAATACAGTTCCTCATGTTGTGGTGACCCCCAATTTCATTGTTACCAATTGAACATAATTAAAGCTTAGTGATTAATCACAAAAACAATATGTAATTATATATGTGTTTCCCGATGGTCTTAGGCGACCCCCGTGAAAGGGTCGTTCGACCCCCAAAGGGGTCGCGACCCACAGGTTGAGAACCGCTGATATAGATAGAATTTTTGTATAGGAACTAATACTTGCAAATATTTAAAATTTGAGATAATTTCATTAACTTTTTAGGAAGCATTATATGTGATTTATCTCTTATGGGCCAAATGGGGTTAGACAGTGATGAAAAGTAAATAAATCAAAAATAATCTTATAGACACAGAAAGATCTTTAAAAGCAAGTAGAAGATAACTAGTGAATAGGCATGGTCAAGAAAAATGTCTGAAGATGCATTGAGCAAGTAAAGTCAAATTTTTTTTATTCAAATGTTGCAATGAGGTAAAAGAGTAGTTGGTTGACATACAGGAACGCTTGACTGCAAGATACATTGAAAAATATCTCGGTGAAGTTATTTTGACTATGGATTTGGCAGGAATTCTGAGGAAAGGATATCATGACAAATATTTATGATTATTTAAAATTTTCCAAAACAAAAAAATAAATCATTAGCTATGTTTCTTCTTTTTCTCCTCTTTTTTTTTTGTAGGGACCTGGCTGCCTTTGACAAGTCCCGTGATCAAGCCATCTGTACCTACCAAGAGCACAAAGCAAGTATGCACCCTGTGACTGCCATGCTGGTGGGCAAGGATTTAAAAGTGGATTAAGGACCTGTCTGGTGCTCATGTCAAGCGCTTCTCTTTTTTAAATTGAATTCATAAAGAAATATAAACTCCAGCTCATATTGTAACTAAAAATGTTTTTATGTTTGGCTTTTTATTGTTTTGTCAGTGATTTTCATAAATAAAGCTGAGCTACCTTCCCCCCTATTCCCAAATCCCCAATGGCATGTTCTTTATAAAGTGAATTTTCTAAAAGTTTAATTTTTTGATTTATAAATGTAAAATTTTCAGTTTCATATTTATTTTCTCCCAGTATGATCACAAAATATGTCAACGTATTTACCTGTTAAATTTAAGTTCTATAATTTGAATCTGCTGCACACCAAGAATTCAGTATGATTAGGGTTTTGCCTTTTAAGTAACTATAGTGTGAACACTCCGTTGGATTTGCTCATCACCCAGCTGGTGGATATAGGATGAACTCCCTTATCAAAGTGTGTCAACTCTAGGGGACCCCTCTGCTCCTCATGCCTGGGTCCCCTGCTGATCCACTGGACTCACCCTGCTCTCCTGTTTATTAGGGTCTGGTAACCACCCTGAATACCAGTACTTCCCATCAGTCTCTTGATGGTCTGTTCAACTTGCCTCAACTCTTTAGTGGTCAGCAAACATTCTTCACCCACATAGAGCATGTGGGAAGAAATATTAAAAACAGTACAACAACTTGATCCGAGTAAGAGAATAACAAAGTATGCCTGTGGATGCCATGTAGTGCCCCAGGGTGCCTCAGCACACAGTTTGGGAATCAATTCATTAGGATTCTTTGATTGTAACTGACTGCAACCGAAATGAAGTCAGAAAGGGAATAGGATGATTATTTTAAGGGTACAGGTAGAGGGAGGTTATCAGAACCTGTGGACAGACAGAAGGAGTCTGGCACCCAGGACTGCAGAGCCATCAATACTCTGGCCTCATTTCTGTTTCTCTAGTCCACATTGTATAGTCTGGCTGCCCCAGCTTTACTGTTGTAAATCTTAACTTACCATGTGGAGAAACTGTCTTGATTCCAAATTTCCAGAAGTGAGACTGACCCAGGTTGGGTCTACTCCTGGCCAAATAAACTCCAGCAAAGAGGAATGGTGTTTCTGAGTATAAATGTGGGTGGGGTATATTATTGTTAAATACCCCCCAAAAGTGCTGATGGAGTGATACAAGTCTCAAAACAGATAGCAAATACCCCGAAGGTGGGGCAGATATCAGAGAGAGAACTTCCTGTCCATGTCTGTAATCCTGACTCTGCTGATTTCACTCTCCTTGGACATGGATGTACACTGCAGTGTGATTCTGTTTCTCAAAACTTCATGCCAGGAATAGGGCAGAGAATTCAGCTCAGACCCCTGGTCTATAATCATGTTCTAAGTGATTAGACTTTGGTAAATCCACGAATCCACATGATCCTTTTGAAGGCATCACTGGCCCTCTAAGCTCACCACATAGTCTAAGCTAATGTCACTTTTCAATATCACTGATGAGTGATACTAAAAGTGAATTGTGACAAGGGATCCTTGAAGGGTGGTGTGGAAGGGTGCTATGAGGAAGGTAGAGGGCGCTAAAGACAAACGTCCAAACATTTACCTGGGGCCAGCTCAGTGGAGTCTATATTCACTTCAGCTAATAAGCATCTGTTCAGTGTCTTTGTGCCAGGCTGTGTATACACATAATTTCCGGATGAACAAAGGTAAGTAATTTCTATAAAATGCTAAAGACGAGGCACGCTAAAGCAACCCAAAGAAAGGGGTTTAGGGAATGCTTTCTGGAGAAAAGAAAGCATAAATGAGTTTTAAGGAATAAAGTAAGGGTATAGATTTATGGGTGTTTGGGTCATGAATTTAGACATAACCAGTGGAAATAGCTTATCTTTGCTCTACTGTGTCTAGGGCCTGAGCCTCAGATCTCTGGGTGTGATGCAATTTGCTGGTAGCTGCTATCATCTGGAACCTTCTTCTCTCACATGTCCCGTGTCTGGCCTGGGATTACTCAAAAGCTGGGCTCAGTTTGGGTTTTCTCACAAGACAGGGAATATTTGGACTTAACCAGTCTTCCTTACATGTCTGCATCCATCCCCAGAGAGTAAGCACCATAAAGGCAGAGAATGCATTGTATTTATTCATCCCCAGCATCTAGCACAGTACTTGGGACATAACAGGTGTTCCAAGAAATATTTATTGGATGAGTGAATGGAAGGGAGCAGAAAGTTAAGCTACTTCATGTCAAAGGGCCTCTGTTTTCTGAGAGGTAGGAGGTAAGGTCCTCTGAGAATGAGGTGAGGTGGATATTGAAAAGGTCCTCGAGGCAGTGACTGTTTTGGAAAGTGGGTGAGTAAGTAGGAGGGCAGTGCCACCATCTGCACCATCACAGGACTTTCTGTAGCAGAGCCTCTCCCTGGGTGAACACAGGGGTCGGGTTTTACTCAGAGTGTAGGCACAGGTTTAATGTTATAAAGACATTTCAAAGTGTTGAAGAAAGTGGTCCAGGTGGGCAACTAGGGGACTGGCTTCCTAGGAAAGTAAGTGAAGAAGCAGGTAGGAGGTGGAGGGCATGCTGGTATGGCTGATTTCTGTGAGCAACTGTATCTCTAGTCCCAGCAGAAATCTGTTCTAATAGGAACAGACCTTTTAGGATTTTTTTTTCTATTGTGTTAATCAAATCTCTAGAAACTGGCTTACCACCAAAATGCTGCTCAACTAGTGCCCACTACTAAACTAGCCCACATTTCTTTGATCTTTTCCATGCTCTTCGCACTTAATACTAGTGGCAATGAATTGGGTGCAGGGAGCAGTTATCTGTGTTGAAGACGCTTAACTGGATTAGGGATATTCATGTACAAAGATGAAAGAACATCTATAAAACAAAATAGGTTTATAGAGTACTGCAGTCCAAATAATAATCACAAACACGTCGGTAGCATTTTCGGTGGACCAGGTGCAGCTCTAAGGGCTTTCCATGCATGAACTCACTCAGTCCTCTCACCACACAGGCCTTTGCAATTGACACTATCAATATCTCCATTTTATAGATGAAGAAACTGAGGCCCAGGGGGGTCAAACGACTTGCCGGAGGTCACAGTTCGTAAAAGGCAGGCCCAGGGTTGGATCCCAGGCCGATATGGCAAATACTGCGGGGAGGCATTTACTCCCTTTCCCTTCTGAGGAGGAAGCAGGCTAATTAGGAACTTACCAGCCACGGAGCAGGAGTTCCACCCAGGGCTGGCTGAGCTGTTAACCTTCAAGCCCTGGCTCTTGGTCCAGACGGTGACCTTTGAAAAGTTGTGAAAATGATCTCTGGCCTTTGCAGTCTCCCTCTGTGGAGGAGCAGCTTGGGAGAACCTTCGCAGTGACAGAGTCCTTGCTCAACACCTGTTTGTGGAATAAACACATGAGTGAGGATTGCCACACTTCCTGGTGTCACACTTGGCCGGCAGGTTATTTCACAGTTGAGTAATCCCAAATAAAGACAGGAACATGGTGTTTATAAGTTGCTCTTAATGGAAGGGAATGCAGACAGGAACCCTGGAGGGAGAAACCGGGGAGCCTGAAGAAAAGGGCGCTAAGACCCCCAGGCCTTACTGCCGTAGGGCTGCATCGCTGGTCTGCAGGCGGCTGGCCTGCCTGCATCCCCCTCTCCGGCCTCTAGCTCAACTGCAAAAACCCAAAGGGACCCTGGAGCCCTTGATAAATATTTGTCCAACGCGTGAATTGGTAAAGGCAAGGGAGGTGGCATATTTTGAAAGTCCATCCTCGCCCTCCCCACCCACCACACCTCGGTAGCCGCTGCTGATAAAACTGTCCGCTCCTGGTGACTGTCACCTGCAGCGGAGCAGGACGGCCTGGTTGCTATAGCCTCAGGGGCTGCAGGAGCGGCAGAGCCATGCCCAGGTACACGGTGCACGTGCGCGGAGAATGGCTGGCCGTGCCCTGCAAGGACGCGCAGCTCACGGTGGGCTGGCTGGGTCGCGAGGCCGTGCGCAGGTACATCAAGAACAAGCCGGACAACGGTGGCTTCGCCTCGGTGGACGACGTGCACTTTCTGGTGCGCCGCTGCAAGGGCCTGGGCCTGCTGGACAATGAGGACCCGCTGGAGGTGGCCCTGGAGGACAATGAGTTCGTGGAAGTGGGTGAGTGGCCGGAGGGGAGAGGCGCGAATGGATGCAGCACACATCCCGGAAGGTTGGGCTGCCATCCCCACCTGCTGGCTGTGCAGGTGCTGCTAGGCCTCTGGGGGCCTTTGATCCTCACCCACCCTACTGAGAAGGAGGGGGTGGGGGCAGGTCTATCCACCTTTTACAACAAGGCAACAGGCTCCCAGAGGACGCCACTTACCCAGAGTCAGTCAGGCTGCTAGTAAGAAGCCAAGAGCAGATGTGAACTCGGGACTGCAGGTCTGAATCCCTTCGAAGTAATTGAATTACTTTGTCCTATATAACTTAAAAAAAAAAATTATATGCCCTAACCGGTTTGGCTCAATGGATAGAGCGTCAGCCTGTGGACTCAAGGGTCCCAGGTTCGATTCCGGTCAAGGGCATGTACCTTGGTTGCGGGCACATACCCAGTAGGAGGTGTGCAGGAGGCAGCTTATCAATGTTTCTCTCTCATCGATGTTTCTAACTCTCTCTCCCTCTCCCTTCCTCTCTGTAAAAAAATCAATAAAATATATTTTTTAAAAATTATATATATATATATATATATATATATATATATATATATATATCCCCTTTATTGATTTCAGAGAAGAAGGGAGAGGGAGAAAGAGAAACATTAATGATGAGAGAGAATCATTGATCGGCTGCCTCCTGCACCTCCCTCTCTCCCCCCACCTCCACCCCACCCCATGGAGCCCCAAACCCCGGGCATATGCCCTGACAGGGAATTGAACTGTGGCCTCCTTATTCATATGCTCAACCAATAAGCCACCGGGTGGTGTATGTAACTATTTTTATAAACTTAAAGGTGAAGCCCTTCAAAAGACCTTCACCAGATGAGAGGCCTGTGGCATAGAGGAGTTCAGATTTCAAACAAAATAAAGCTGGGATGGGACAGAGGTGGGGGGGGGGGGTTAGATCTTGAACTTTCATTTAAACCAGGGTCCACGCCCGGCACCTGCATCTCTGCCCTTTGCTCTCCTTCATTGTAAAGAGCACTTGAAAGTATCTGAAGTCACTTTAAAGCAGCCATTTTGATAGAATTCAAAGGCAATTGAAGGGC